GGCCCCCCGCCACTTCATCTGGCGTGACCTTCCCGTCTCGGTCCCTGCAGACGTTTAATGAATTCCAGTCTTTAAACAAATCTAAGGCGACAGAAGAATGGTAAAGCAGAGGGCTAAATTGATCTGCAGACAAGGACAATACGGTCTTGGAGTTGAATATATTGACTCAATTTACAAATAGCTTAGATAAGTGCAAAAAAAGCCGGGATTTTGAATACTGCTAGAGCCAATAAATGGTGTTAGTTGATCCAGGGAGGATTGTTTTACTTCATCCAATGCGATGATGCTGATAATATAACATTCAAGATTTCAATACCTGTCAAGCAGCTGCCAACCTTTGCCAATCTTGACATCCACATCATCAATTTCTTTCTCAAGATTTTGTATCATACCATCAACCTTTGAGGATGAGACACGAATGCAGGATCAGTTAGCTCCAACTCAAAAAAAAAAGATAGAACCTGACAAGGGACAAGAAGCCGCTTAAGTAGGTCGAAGCTTTACCTGTTCCATCAGTGCTGAGGAGACCTCGTCAGCTTCAGGAACTTCGTCAGGTTGATCACTTTCTTCACGAGCCGCTTTGTACGCCTTCACTGCAGCCTTTGCTCCATCAACATCTTCTCTCTCGACCATTGTATTATAGAATTCCATCTGGAAAGACCAAAGATTGCATCCAGTAAAAACGTTCATATGCACAATGAAAAAACTCCCATCTTTTGATCTAGTCAGAAAGCTCCGTATACAAGACAATGACTAAGCAATCAATACATAGACAATAGCTTATGAGAGTAAGAACATTATACCTCTTTCTTGACCAGCCTCAGGAATTCTTCACGCTCTCTACTCACCGACTGCATATATCAAAACAAACAAGTTTTAACGTAAGTATGGATAAACTCGCTCTGTATGTTAACCGTGTAAACCAATAGAATCATTCTTACTGAAGCAGAAGCCAAAACAGCCAATGCTTGACTGAGTTCACAAAGCTGATCTTGCTTTTCCAGAGCGCTAGCTCTAGCCTGTTCTTGTGCTTCTCTGGCCGTTGGTGTGATCATCTCCTGCAGTGCCTTATCCTCTTCACTACCTTTAGCCTCTTTAATCCTTGTAAGCTCTTCTTCTTCCTTCTCTTCCTCCTCCTACAGGTATTGAGTTAACATCATAAATGCCATTCATTCCCCAAAGCTAACATAGCAAAGTAGTCTGAGGGTTTCAATGAAAGGAATGGCAGCATCATCAGATTGTAACAATGATCCACCAATGAAAATTTTTTAAAGATCCAAGACATGAAGTTAGTCAGCATGATACAACAGAATCCAGAATGATTTATTTCATACCTTGATCAGTTCTTCTTGCATCTCAAGGTATTCTAATTTCCTTCTTCTCTCAGAGACAGAGTCCTCAGATGGCAGAGAAGTGATGCCAACGGTATCCACAACCTCGTCGGGGAGAGAAGAAAGTGTAGCTCGTACAGCATCCTCTGGCTTTATTTTGCCAGAAACAGTGAATGCCCTGAACACAAACTGCATGAGAAATTGGTTGCAAGAAACAACAGTGAAGAAATACCAGAAAATATTTTTCCTGGACTCACCTGGAAAGAATTAACAAAGAAGAGGGGACAGAATGATTAAGTGATAAATCCAACCAATCGTGAAGCTGCAAGTTTGTTTTGATACGAAAAAGTGCAATATCATTATCTCCTCTAGTAGAGCCTAACAATCAACAAGGAGCAAAATATAGGACCACAAACAGCAAACCTGTTGCCTCATCTCCTCAACAGAAACCAGCCCCAGCATTCCCCTTTCCCTGCAATCTTCTCGGAGCTCAGCTTCCGAGAGGGAATCTATACCCTCTGCTTGAATTAATTTGTCATCATCCTTAATTCTAAAAGGACACGAGAAAGCAGAACATTAAATCAAATTGAACAAAGCTAGTAACAGTGAACTAATACACCAGCCTAACATAAGCAAACAATACAAGGTTTTACCTCCTCAGTCTTTTCCTGAGCATATAACGCAGATAGGAATCCGTTCCAAATGGGCTAATACCCATATATTTGCACATGCTAACCAAGCGAGGCCTAGTATGAGAAAGGAGTTAATTACTGGCCTTTGAGAGAACATAACATATCCCAAGATTAAATAAAAGAAGTAACACAATCCAACCTGCTAATGTTATCCAATGTAAGCTCATCATTGAACAGCTTTGCAAAGCTCAAAAGTTCTTCATTTGAGACAGTTCTACCTTTACGGACCTGCACCGCAAACAATGTCATGGAAGGAAAAAATAAATTAAGATTTGAATTTGATACATTGAAATGGAAGGAAAAAATCGCACGGGAGAAAAATATAAATATGAAAAAGTAGAGGACAGTATTCAACAGTTTACCTTCTCTAAAATCTCATCGAGGTCCTCGGCAGTTTGCTTTAGCTCTCCACTTCTTGAGTTTTTAACTTCCCTGGCCATCTCTTTGACCGTATCCTGGAGAAACTTAGCATATTCTATTCGTGCAAGCAGTTTCCTTTTTAATGCTTCCTGTACATAGAAATAAGAATAACATGAAATTGTGTCATCCTTCCAGTGATCAAACAGCCCTCCTGATGTGATCTGGATTCATAATGCATGAGCCTACAAGTAGGGGCATCCAAACATAGGAATCACGCTCGTTGTCACGGAGAGTATTGGATGAAGATTTCTCATAAGGGAGCGCACCACCAGGACAAAAACATGAAAATGGGGTATACATAAGACAGCAAGGTAAAACAAAGCATGTGAGAGTCTCTTCTCAATGAAACCATACCTCTTCTTTCATCTTGTCCTGGAAAGTTGATGGCAACATATTAGGGAAGAGCTTCAAGAAAACAGGGAGCAAAAACTCCATAAATGGCACAATAATGAACACTGCAAATGGGACTAATCTAAAAATATCGGCTGTTGTCCGGGTTAGCTGTTGCCTTTCTCTTCTTGAGAGACTCTTTCCGCCAGCCAACTTGAGCAGTAATCTTGAACTAATTCTCACGTCTGCCCACAGTAATTTCGACCCGAGCCAGTAATGTTGCAGTGTTGACACAAACTCGTGTTTCCAGTGGGTGAGCTTCTTCGCCCAATCTTCCCTTTAGAAAACATAAAAAGAAAAGGCAGAGAAATTTAATACAATGGAACGCAAGCATGGAGATCGAGGACAAGCAAAGTAACATAAATCTTAACCTGCTCATGGAGGCAATGGCTCTTAAAGCAGGACCTATCCCCAGAAGAGCTGCCCATGTCCTCCGTAGTATCGATTGAGCAACCTTTCCAGACTCTTGAAGACGTTTAGCTTTTGCCTTGGCTTTAGCACTGCTCAGATCCTCAACAGCCATATCACATGCTTCAGGAGATGCCTCTTTTCTCTTTCTCGCAACCACTTCATCGTTGTCCTCGTCTTCAAACTCCGGTTTCTTAGCTGCAGCCATGGAAGCATTACGCATGGATATGCCCGGATATCTCATCCACACAGAAGGCACAATTTCTGACTGTGCAAACCCGAAACCCGAGAAACAAAACCCATGAAATCTACGGTCGAAATATCCTATTCTAGAGGGTAACAAAAATCCATCTCCTCCCTTCAAGGACCTGTCTTCGTTTACACGGTTAAGGTCCATGGGAGGACGAGTGACAACAGAGTGATAAGCATGTGAATCAAGCGTTTGACCGGCATTTCCGATCGACTGGAAGCTCTGAATCGAGCGAGCAGAGCCATTCAAGTAATCAGAAATGATCCTTTTTCTTCTGACGATCGCTCTCGACGCCATTTCTTAATTCTCTGGATTTGGTCGACAGAAACACCTGGACATCTCCCAAAAAGAGAACACTCCTTACTCTGGCACTCGGAACACACAAGCGAACAGTAATCAAAAACCACACGGAGAAACTAACGATACAGAACTCGAAATAACATATGAACTTTCGGCGAACCAATAGCTCGGCGAATAAACTAAAATAGAGAGACGGAGACTCAAAGCCCAGACAAATCGGAAAATAAATCGAACCCCTGAGAGGAAATCATGCACTCCTTCTCCCTCAATTTCTCAAGCCACGATAATCGAACAGAAGTTAAAAATCTAAAAATAGAACAAACAGAATGTAGACGTACACAGGAAATTCCCACGAAAGAACAACGAAATTGAGATCGGGAAGCCATCGAAAAGTCGTCGGAGAATCACTTACCGAGAGAAAAAAGATGGGAGCCGAGAAAATAGGATAGGGTTTTGGGGTGGGACGAAATGGCAGGGGAAAGGGTTTTAAAGCTTAGCAAGCGCAAGCAAGAAACAAATAAAAAAAAAAGACTAACAAAAATAATTAATTATATTTACTGAAAAACCTTTTATTTTTAATTTATCATAAAAATATGTCACTATCGGTTTAAATAAAAAAATTCAACTATATAATTTACTGAAATGAATTTTAAAAAAAAAACATTTTGGAGTAGAAGGCTTGTGAAAGTGTGTTTTGGACCGTTGTATATAGTTTCTTCCATAAAAAATTTCGATTTTTTTTCTATTTGAGAGGGAATTCAAAGATAAATACATAAATCGTTAGGTGAGAGGCAATTATGAAACTCTAATGATTTTATAATACAATTTATCAAAATTGTTGTTTACCGAAAAATGAGCAAACGATTATTCACATCTCCACCTAATCTCACATGCTAAAGTCATGAATTTATCTCATTGAACTGTCAAATTAATTCCATATTTTATATTTATTTTCTCACGAATCAATCACACATTCGAGTCATATAATGAAGACAATATAAAATTGTTATCACGAATGTATTATCTTAAAATCATAAATTGTATATGTAATTAATGCAATATTAATTAATTGGTCTTGTAATCAAAGACAAGCCGTGGTCGGAACGACGTCGTTTGCCGATCCGTCGGCGTTAACGCAGGATGCCTCCGCCGGCCGGCTCCGGTAGATAAGCTTAACGCCGTCCATTTTGATGTCGGAGCATGGATTCTCTTCGCTGCAATCTAACGTTATTCCCACCTCCGTAGCCGACGTCCCATGTATATCTTCGTACGTCACTCCGCTTATCTTCACTCCCGATTCCTATACAGTATACGTTAAATATATAACCGTATCCGTACACACAATATACGACTACGTACTCGATGTGTATACGAACACGTTCTTTGAGTTCGTCATATAACGGTCTATAGCTTCGAATACCTGATTAGATTGGCATGGTTTGTTAGGGCAATAGTTTTGATCGATTATGATCGGGTTCTTGACGGCGTTCATCGTAATGTGTCGGAACACGATGTTCCTTGCGAAACCGTTGCTACGTCTGCTCCATGTCTTGATCCGAACTCCGTTCTCTGTTCCCGTGAACTTCACGTTCCTCACTGTCACGTTTTCGACTCCGTTCTCTTCCTCTTCTTTCCCCAAGCTTCCGATACTATATATTACAAGAAAAAAAATAAATTTTTTTATTGAAGTAATACTATACTATTCGTTTATAGTTATAGAGGATGAGTCGGGCCAAATATTCGAATACCCTCGTTTTTATTTTCTTATTTTCTTAATTACCTGATTCCGTGGCCTGGACCGCATACAATGTTTTCTACGAGGAGATTACTGGTTCCGGGTCCGACAGAGATACAGTCGTCACCGGTTCCTATCCTCGAGTTCGAGACCGTGACCGAGCTCGAAGACTGGACGTGGATTCCGTCCGTGTTGGGGCTGTTTCCGGCGGCGGAAGCCCTAACGCCATCGATCCTCACGTTGTCGGAACTGTCGATAACTACGTGGAACATTTGGCTGTTGAGTGAAGTTAGACCGTTGATCTCTATATTCTTTGACCCACTAAACACCAAACTCTGCGAATTTATAAGACAAATATTGAGTAATCATTCATGAAACTAATATATAAAAATGCGTGATTTGATCGACCGATACCTTGGCTCCTGTAGGGCAATCGCGGTTGCCATTGTTCTTGCAGTTCCACAAACCAGTGCCTTGTGCGTCAAGAATCCCGCCGAAAATCGAAACGCCGTTAACGTCCTCGAATGAGATCCACTTCTCGGAACCGGCAATCGCTCTATAATCTTGCGGAGCTATGATCGTTCCGTCTATACGTATAGACACGCGTGTATTCTTACACGACTTGCCCTGGAAAACGACGTTTCCAATCAAGAACCGTCCCTGTGGCACGACGATGGTGGTGGGGTTAGCCGAGAGGCAGGCCTCGTCCCAAGCGGCCAAGAAGGCATTGGTCGAGTCGGTCGAGCCGTCTGGTTTGGCTCCGTACGCTAAGACATCAAGTGTTGGTGGAATCGGATCAGCCAATGACGAGAGTGAGAAGAAACCGACGAAGAGAAGGAGAGAGAATGTGACGTTAGTCGTATGAATCATTGTTTTGTTTTGGTCTTGCAATAGATACGAAATATGGGAGAGGGAAAATGTGAAGGAGATAGATTGATAGATTGTAGATTAGACGTTATGAGGATGGGGAAATTGAAAAGAGTTTGAGAGCTATTTATAAGGGTTTGTATGGGAGTGATGTAATATTTATTAGAAATGTAATATATATATATATATATATATATATTACTCTATATATATGTATATATTACTTTATATATGTGCCAACTTGGACCCAGATCACGGAATTTGGATTGTATAAGGTTGTACCATCATTTTCTTATATATATATATAGGGAACAAAATGACGTATGCGATTGAATATTCTTACATAATATTATATTACGTATCGTTTTCCTACACGTGATAACGTTAAGGGAATTCTCCATCGTTATATGTAAATATTCGAATGATTTTCATCTGATATCATATGCTATATATATATTTCCGCTTAAGAAATACTAATCATATTCATAACCCGTTTTGCTTATAACAATTTGATTAATTTACTATATATTTTCTTTTCGAAAAAATGGAAAATCTTGGCTCGAAGAGCTAATTAAATGACATCGATCAATATATGGCTGTGCCCAATAAGTTTGACGATTGAAGCATCGTATTAACTTCATATTTGACAAAAAAACAGAAATGTTAAATATAGTTTGTGACTGTGTGGTCTCAAAACGAAATCAGAAGAGCAAGACATATGATCATGTCATGCCAACCAAACACATAGACATGCCATGCAAAGACCATCATCGTCCGTAAATGATCCCTTAATTTGGCTTCAAGGCATCCTTGTTGAATTCGGTGTCTCATTGTCTTTGCTCATACATACATACATACATACATACATACATACATACATACATACATACATACATACATACATACATACATACATACATACATACATACATACATACATACATACATACATACATACATACATACATACATACATACATACATACATACATACATACATACATACATACATACATACATACATACATACATACATACATACATACATACATACATACATACATACATACATACATACATACATACATACATACATACATACATACATACATACATACATACATACATACATACATACATACATACATACATACATACATACATACATACATACATACATACATACATACATACATACATACATACATACATACATACATACATACATACATACATACATACATACATACATACATACATACATACATACATACATACATACATACATTATGTATTGTGGTGTTTGTATACATATTTTATGATACAGAAAACATGCCCGAAACAAGGCGACGCATATCTCCGTATCATTTTTCGGTGGTGCTACGTGATCCCCGTATCACTTGCTTTCAACGCATTCAAAAATACGTATATGCATATCCATTTTCTCCGTATATTTATGTATTTATTTATGAGATAAATCAGAATAAATCCTTTTTAAAAAATCTGAATAAAATTTTAATTATCAACGAATCAAATCGGAACAAATAACTATACTTATAAAAATATCCAAAAAAAATTATACATTTTATTAATATATATGTTTTAATTATCCGCCACTTACCTTGATTTGTTCACTTGGAGATGTAACTAATCAATATTACTTGTAAATCTTCTAGACAAGGAATGAAATTTACGTTTAATTATAAAAAATATATTTATGATATTAATTTATCATTATAATTTTTAAATTATAACTAAAATAGGTAGATTAATATATATAATAGTTTTGATCTATTTATAAAATAAAATTTTGTTTGGATTTATGGATAATTGATAAACTTAGGATTAAGGTGGTGTTGACGTTGTCATGGATAATTGATGCTTATAAAAAGTTTTTTTTTTTTGTATGCAAAATAGTATGTAGTATTAAATAACTCAATGGTTTTTGTTTTTATTTTCGGAATTGATATATATATATAGAAGTATGAGTGGGTTATATATTTGTATGTGAGTGTATACATATAGGCAATAGAGAGAGAAATACGGAGCAGCAAAATAATGCAACGGTCAACGAACAAACATAATAGCTTCCTTTCTCCTGCTATGGAAGAAAAACGGGAAGCTTGTCATTTACCCATATCTTTCATTTTGCGTATGTTGTAATAATAACATATCTAATTAATCACATATTTAATTTGGATAATTATAACTAATTGATAACCAAGGACAAAATAAAACACCAACAAAAAAGGGTTGCTCTCTGATGGGCTCCATAAACCAAATGCAAGGCCAGGCTCACGGCCCATTGGGCCGGATACCGCCACAGGCTCATGCACCCTCCGTTCCCTCTCCTTGAAACGGAGTCTTTATTCACAACCTGAAACATACCCTAGTTCCACCCCCCCCCCCTACCTTCTTAGTTTTGTACTAATTGAACAGAGAGAGAGACAAAACAAAAGGAACCGACAAAAACACATTTAGGGTTTCATCAAAGACAACTACTCGGCTGGAGAAATCCGGCCTGAATCCCACCGGCGTGGCTACAAGCTGCTCGGACCGGTTTGTTCTGGTACGTAAGCTTCACGCCCTGAAGCCGAATTCCGGTACACGGCTTCTTCGGGCTACAATCAAGTTTCACTCCGATCTCTGTCTCTGATGTCCCGTGTATATCCATATACAGCACGTCGCTTACTTTCACCCCGGAAACCTGGTCGTCATCAAAGTACATTAATCTCAAAGACATGCACAGATATATATACACGAAAAGAGTATGTATCTCTGTATGCATGCGTGTATATGTAGGTGTACCTGTCCGGGGCAATTCTCCTTGCCGGGGCAGTAGTTTTGATCAATGACGATAGGGTTTTGGACGTTGTTCATAACGCAATGAATGAAACGGACGTTGTTGACGAATCCGGTGCTGGGTCTCGCCCATGATTTTATCCTCACCCCATTCTCTGTCTTTGTAAACGTCGCCGTTTTCACAGTCACGTTTTGTACCCCTGCCTCTACCTTGTCCTTCCCCAGGCTCCCAATGCTTGATAATGAAAATGGAAAAAAACACGGGATGTTAATTGTGAATAAAAGTCGATAAACCATCATAGTCCGAAAGTTTGTCTGTGGGCATTCCAAGGTTTGGATTTTTCAGGATGTATTAAGAATGTGCATACCTAATGCCGTGACCGGGTCCACAAGCGACGTTTTCGATCCAGAGGCCGTTGGTGCCGGGGCCGATGGAAACGCAGTCGTCGCCGGTAGCAATATTTGAGTTGAGGATTGAGACTATGGACGACGACTGGACGTGGATTCCGTCCGTGTTGGGGCTGTTTCCCGCCGCAGAAACTTTCACTCCTTGAAGCTTCACGTTCCGGCATCCGTTGACCACGATGTGGAACATCTGACTGTTCAGCGACGTCAGTCCGGACACGACGATGTTGCTTGAGCTCTGAAACCCTATGGTCTGAAAAACGCATGCCAAATCACACCGGTTAGTGCTCCATTTCATGTGTCGGTATATGGGCTAACGTGAGAAAAAGGTTTGGTAGCCCATGTAACATTTCGGGCTGTATAAGATTAAAGGGTCAACTAAGCTTCATAAGTCAGAAAAGGGTATCATAAAAATCTAACCTTTATCAAAAATTCCTTTGGAAAGTTAAAAAGTCGTTATTTTTATTTTTTTTTGTGGGTTTAGATAGGAAAGTCATGAATTTGTCGTATAAGACTATAATGTGCATTTGTCTTATACATAACCTCTCTTAATTAATTAATTAATTAATTAACCAAGATCTGGACCATCGGGCACATCGATCGTCAGATGATATTCGAACGGTTACGAAAGGGGCAAAAGCTTGGTTTCAAAACGTACCGTGGCGCCGCTCGGGCAGTTCTTGCCGGACAGCTTGCAACCCCAGAGCCCAGCTCCCTGAGCGTCAAGAACTCCGCCGTAGACGGATACGCCGTCAACGTGATTGAAGAATATCCAATAGCCAGCGTTTCCAATGACCCGATAATCCGACGGAGCAACCAGAGTCCCGTCAATTCTAACGGTGATCTTCTTGCGCTTGCATTTTGTGCCGTCGAAGACCACGCTTCGCAGCAAGAACTGGCCCTTGGGGACGATGACGGTCACTGGGCGGACCGAGGCGCATGCGTTGACCCAAGCCGCGACAAAGGCCTTGGTGGAGTCCGTCTTGCCGTCGGGTTTGGCTCCGTAGGACATGACATTGTAGGTTTGAGCTGATGATGACGACGACGAGAGCAAGAACGTGAAGAAGAGGAAGAAGAGAAGTGATGTATTGTCTGAACGAATGGTGGACGTCATTGTGTTTTTGTTTTCCTTTACGGTTTGGTCTAGAGAGAGAGAGAGAGAGAGGGAGTAGTGGTGGTGTGGTGAGGGAGTTAAAGCGGTTATGGGGGTTATTTATAGTGTTGTATAAGGACTTTTGATTACTCTTTTTCTATATATATATATATATTAAAATTTTCATTGGTTTTTGTAAGAATAATTAAAACTTAATTAATGAACATTATACATTTTTGTTGGATTTATTTGGCATTGTACGTTAAAGTCGCCTTCTTGAAACTTGAATATGATCGTTGGTAGGTTCTTTAGCAGATTCCACTGACAAATCAAGCATATATAATAATGTAATGATACACCATTCATGAAATGATGAATATATATGCATATATGTATATGTATATGTACACATGCAGATATAGAGATGCATGTGATATAAATGAGTGTTCATATTCACCTCCGAAACGGTCGGTCCATGGCCCATGGCATGTTGAGATGTAGGGGGCCACAAGATCAACTAATGCGGCCAACATGTCACGGCCAGTTACCCATTTCATTAGTCTTTAATTGCCAAAAGAAGATATAAAAAAAATCGTAAAACGTTATGTAATTATTAAAAAAAAAAGTCTCGAAGAAAATAAATGTGATTAAATTACGGAAAATGCGGAGGCTCATTTCTTGTCCTTTATCCCATAGAATTCAATTCAACAACTCTTCAAAAAAGTAGATGTTCATCTCGGCGAGATTCGGGCAAGTAAAATCAAATCGGATCAAAATGGAACAGAACAATATATAATCATTCTAAGATGATGTACTTTTAAAATTAATTAAATTAATCAAAATAAATAATTATTTATTTAAAAATTGAATTCAAATAAAAAATGAAGTAAAATCAAATTTTGATATGAAAGGGCAAAATATGTCAAATAAATATATAAAATTTTAATTTGATCTAATTGATACCTCAAATATTAAAATATTTCAAATTGATACCTCAAATATTGAAATATTCCAAATAGATATCTTAATTCATGAAATTGATGATAATTTTCAACCACTATTCTAACGAAGATGTATAGATTAAATATAAAATTTTAATATAAAAACGAAATTCACGAAATCGATGACAATTCACAACCTCGATTCTAACGACGATATAGAAATTAGATGTTAATTCCAACACAAAAAGCAAAGCAAAATTGTAAATTGTTTTCGATTTCGTGAGTTGTGATATCTTTTTGTAACATTTTAACATCTAAGGTATCAATTTGGAATATTTTAAGATTTGATTTATCAATTAGATAAAATTTTAAAAATTAAATATTTATATAACAGTAAATTGTAAAGTTGAGGTAATTATATGGATTTTTCCATTTTTAAACAATTAGCATGCATATGGATATAAAGGAGCGATGTGAAGAGAAAACGTGACAAGTGGAGCAGAAGGCGGAGGCGAAATTGTCCATTTACATGTTTCATCATCAATCCCTCCGGCACGCCTTCTTTTTATTTTAACATTTTTTTCCCTAAATTGCGACTTTGATTTTCTTTTTATCACGTTTATATTTTGTTCATTTGGTTTCTATGTTTCCTTCTTGCTTATATTCAAAAATATCAAATGTTAAGTAACTAACAATCTCCGTATTATCTTTGTCTAATTTTCACCATTAGCACACGTTAATCAAGAGCATGTAATTAGCCATGGGATAATAAAAATGAACAGCTGCATTAATATTTCATGTTTCGTAGTTTTATAATAAGATATTGGTATTGTAAAATTAAGAAGATTAAGTTGTTAATTAATCTTAGGATCCCTAGCTAGATCCGATGGATACCCATGTGACATTTTCACCGATAAAAAAAGCATTGTATTTGTATTTTATGTATGCCAACAAAATAATATTATACGTACGAGTCATGTATTACCCTGTTATTATAAGTATACAACAGGTTTATGAAATTTTATTACGTAAACAAGTCACGAACGAATATATATATATATATATATATATGTGTGTGTGTGTGTGCATGTACTGTTTTCATTGTTAGATATTATTTTTTAGCTTTGAGGGGTCACATGCACATGCCTTACAGAAATGTGGTATGTTTCTACGTATAAAATGATTGGCCGCATTGTATGGATCATGAACAAGCCCTTATCATCCATAACGTGTAAAGCCTTGCATGTATGTTGAGTTCATATCTCTGATTCACGCATACATATATATATATATATATATATATATATTAAAACTTATATATATGTTGATGTATTCGATTATAATGTTGTCGATTTCAAAAGCTTACAGGGGAGAGAGAGAGAGAGAGACCACGTGATTTAGAGGTTGACCTATCTACACAAACTTATAGCCAACATAGTCTTAACCACATGATTTTGGGAGGAAATTCAAAACGATTTGTAGATATTTATTTTATATCTCAGGTTCTTACTTTAGTTATACGGTCCTACATTTTGAAACATTATACAAAAAATCTTAGATTTAAAATATATAAAGAATTCTTCTTCTAATCACGTAAGATGTGTACTCTTTAAATAGACTATAACTGATATTTCGAAATAAACGCAACGTAATAAAATAGATGACAATAAAATAAAATTAACAAAATTTTTGTATTGGAAACTGTTAGGTGCTTAATTTAACCAGAGTCGAATTAATATGGTCCAAAATTATATGATTGGCAATTTAGTGGGCCCGTTTCGCAATTTACGTGCCCAAAAAAAAATGAAGGAAAAGGACTTCAGAAACTGAACATAAAATTTAATTTTCAAAATATGACAAACATATGTCAACATGAGATCAAAATTTAATCTAAATAATTTCCTATTTTGTTTCTACTTTTTTTTTTATGAGATAAAAAATCTTAGCAACGTCTATAAAGTATAGAGAAATCTCATGACATACATACATGAACATACATACATGCATGCATGCATATATACATACTTTTATATACTTACGAGTAAATTAGTTGATTTAAGGGTATTAACTTATCCTAAGAGTACTAATGCACCGAAAATTCAGAGTTAATAAAATTTTTAAATATAATTAGGTAACTAATCAAAAGGTAACCGCCATGATATCTTTTCGGTTTCCGGACAAATAAAAAAAAATACAGATAAATTTTTTAGCAAAGTCCGATTATCACATGGAGATCTCTTGATATCTTTCGAAGCCAGCAATATATATACAATAAATTGTTCAAATGATTGGTTATCCAATCTAATTAATCACTTAATCATACATTAAGTATGCCTAATAGTGCTTGTTAACGTTAAAAACTATATATTAGAAGTGGATATTTCACTTTCAATATATAAAACCGAATCAAACCGATCAATCTATAAAAAAAACCCGAAGAAGATATAGATTTTTTTTTCTTATAAAAAAAGATATAGTTTTTTTGTTGTTGTAAAAACCTAATATCAAAACCAAAAATTAAAATATAACCATACGTGTTCGGTAAATTATTTGATAGGCCAATATCTTAGGCCCATAAATAAAAGGCCCTACGTATACGGGATTTAAGGAATAGGGCTATGTATTAGGCTCGGTCCATAACATCCAACGAAGCCTTTTAAAAAAAACTTTATAAAAAAAAACATCCAACGAAGCCTACATAATCTTTTTTTAAAATTCAATATTTTAACAAACTCTATAACGAAATTAAGAAATTATTTTCTTTGCACTAGATTATAGACAACATTTGCTGATTTGCATGAGCCATGCAAATATTCCCGCCCAATAATCTTGCAGAAATTCCTCCATGTGACGACCAACCGTACAATAACTCCAACGTACGTAACAATAATATCCGCGGCACTTGATTAAAAACATTATTATTTCCTATTAACATTAATATATTCTCTCTCAGTTTCATAATAATTGACGCTTTAAACAATTATTTTTGTTTCTAAATAGATGTTATTCTACTTTTTTAAAATAATTTCCAATTTTATCCTTAATTAAAACTACTATAATTCCAATAAACTTCTAATAAAAATATAGTTTTTTATCATTAAACCTATATCAAATAAGGGCGTGTAATAATATTTTTATATTTTTATTAAAAAGTGTGAAAAACTCTAAAACGATAATTATTTAGAAATGGAGGGAGTATATTTTATTCAACAATAGAATTGATATTTTGCATATCCACGTCACATAATCAGACGAATTAAAATTAGTTTGAGATTAGGTAACGTGTAAATGGAATGCTTGTACTAAGAATTTCATGTGTCTCATACGTACTAGTCACAAATTTTACAACACAATGCCACCGTACACATACAAGGATAACGTGGGAGTGACATTTAGGTCACTTAATTCTCAATTAACCGAGTAATAACATTATTCAATTACTCGGACCGTCGGTCCAATTCATGAAATATCACTCCACACCCTCATAATCCTATATATAACCCTTCACATTACACCTAGCCTTCACTTCAAAAATCGACATCGAATTCAAATCCAAGATGACGAAGAACATAATGTTTCCTTGTGTTGCAATCTACTTACTCCTCATGATGATCATCGACTCGTCAAAGGCCACTCCGTCGTACAACGTCCAGAGATACGGCGCGAGAGGGGACGGTCAAACTGACTCGACCAAGGCGTTCCACACGGCATGGTCGATGGCCTGCAGGTCGAGGACCTCGGCCATGGTGTATGTTCCACGTGGGACGTACTTGGTCAAGAATCTCGTGTTCTTGGGACCATGCAGGTCAAGAATAACGTTCAAGATCGATGGAACACTCGTGGCACCGACGAATTATTGGGATCTGGGTAGCTCCGGTTATTGGATTTTGTTCGCTAAAGTTAACCGGATCTCGGTTTATGGTGGAACCGTTGATGCAAGAGGAGCTGGGTACTGGGCTTGCAGAAGAAAAGGTGGTCACTGCCCTCCTGCTACTAGGGTATGTACTTATGTTAATCCCGAGTCGTGAATCCGTGTGTGAGATTACGTAATATTATGGTAATATTCTCTCTATACCGCTCGTAAAACATGTTTTCAATGGCTATTTTTGCAGTCTATATCGTTTAGCTGGTGCAACGATGTGCTCCTCAGCGGTTTCACATCGGTCAATAGCCATAATATTCACGTATCGGTCCATCATTCGACCAACGTTAGGATTCGGGATATAAAGATTAGGGCACCGAGCGGTAGCCCTAACACCGACGGTATCCACGTTCAATCTTCAACTGGCATAACCATAAGCGGTGGAGCGATTTTAACCGGGGACGACTGCATATCCCTCAGTCAAGGATCGAGGAACGTTTGGATCGAGCGCGTCAACTGTGGACCAGGACATGGAATCAGGTATAACCGTAAAAACAATATACGTTATATATATATACACACACACAAGTATAACAGTGTGGTTATTATAAATTGTTAAATGTGAAGTATTGGGAGCCTTGGAGACTACGTGAACGAGGAAGGAGTGCAGAATGTGACTGTCACGAGCTCGGTTTTCACAAAGACGCAAAACGGAGTGAGGATAAAGTCGTGGGCGAGGGCGAGCAACGGGTACGCGAGGAACATAGTGTTCAGAAACCTCGTAATGAACAACGTTCAAAACCCTTTGATCATCGACCAGAACTACTGTCCTTCGGGCAAAGGCTGTCCTCATCAGGTGAAGAATTCAGTTCCAAGATGCATGTTCGGACCAAGAAAACCACTTACTCTGTTGATTAATGGCATTTTGATATATATTTTCAGAGTTCTGGTGTGAAGATAAGTGGAGTGACGTATTCGAACATAAAGGGGACAACGGCCACGGCTGTTGGGGTGAAACTGGATTGCAGTCCGAGGAATCCATGCACTGGCATCGTATTACAAGACATTAAGCTCACTTACATGAGACGTTCGTCGAGTTCTTATTGCAGACATGTTCATGGACGATCCTCTGGTGTTGTGATTCCCAGAAATTGCCTCTGAAAACTGTCCACAGATATGTATTTGTTCTTACTTCACGATTCAATCGGATTATACATTCATGTATAAATATGTTGTTTGGGTATGCTTGTTTTTTCATTCACGTAAAACTGAGATTTGTCCAAATCCGAGAAAAATAAATTATTTTTATATAAATGAAGTATATATTTGTAAGATTGTATTTCGTTATATGTTAAACCATTATATATATATATAATATAACATATATTTCATAAATAATCTTGTTTTGTTGCCATTGTGCCGATAAGAAAAGCAAAAAAATATGAAAGATTATAAATCGCCAACGGTTTAGTGGATTTTATGTCCGGTTTAATACCCAAACCACATTGTATTACATCGATAGAAAGTTAATTTTTTTTTTGGATAATCCGGAAGTTCACCGGGTCTTTAACCCGACTATATCTCCCAGAGGACCGGAGAAGCTCAGGTGAATGCCCCTCTCCACGCTTGGATTTGAACCCAGGATGAGAGCATGTTTTACATGTTCTCTCACCACTAGGCCACCCAAACTTGGGTAGATAGAAAGTTAATTTCATGGCTACTAAAACTCTCCACGATGTTTTCGCTCTATAAAGATTTACTAAAACATTTATTTCAATCTAATTACCTTGTTACAATTAAGTATCATCAACGACTCTCATCATAAATTTAGAAATCGGATTCTTCTTGTATAGGTTAAATTTACTATTAAAACGGAAGTAAAAAAAAAAACTAATAGGAATTGGCAAACAAATTTGTTGCCGGTTTTCAAAACAGAGGTAGAGTAGCAGGATCATGTACATATATACTTGTGTATAAATCTATATATATATATATATATTATATGTCAATGACGTGAAGTTTACACGGACTTTAATGAGAATTTTCCGATCAATCATAGTTAGTTTCTGTTACATTAACCATCATCTATCTGTTTTTTTAAGTTTGTATATTTTATATGATATATATATATATATATATATATATATATATATATATATATATGAATAAGTTTTGGTATGGTTGTTATATTTGTATATTGGATTTGACGTGTATAATACGAAGGAATGATAACGGTGATATACATATGCGCGTACTTATCACGTACACATTCCCACGAAAACACAGTACGATTAGTATTAGTCCATAACGTAGCCCATGTGATTAATCATAGAAATCATGTTACTGATTACATGACGTGGCTGCTTTTTACTGGTTGACTTTTTGGACAAAAGATCCCTCTTTCAAGTTACAAAACGTTGACCTGTGTTCATGACCGCAAGATTCGGAGGCTTTCTAGGTTGTACGGCTACGATTTCACTTTTCTCCACATCGTCATCACATGCCATTGACTAAGGGCTTTGTGCATGATGAAACTCGTCTTCCGTTTATTTCTTAAAACTTTAAATTATAAAAAAAGGGTTATATCGTCAGCCATTTCTTCATTTTATTTGGATTTTAAAGCTATATATATATATATATGTGTGTGTATAATCAAGAAAATCATGCAATTCCATAAATGGGCAAAAATACGGATCTTCAATATTTTTTTTGAAAATTTAATGAAATTATTAAAGAGAAATAATACATACTCGTATTTGGTACTAAAATTGGAAACTAAAATGTTTAAGATAAAATATAGCCAACATTATTACAAGGTAACATGGAGCACATGCCTTAAAACAATGCTTGAGAAAATTCGCATTACTTATCACATGGGAACCGTACATATATCATTACAAAGCCTAATACGTTATCGTGCATGTCAATCATATTATACCATTTGCAAATAATTAGTCAATCATTATTAATTCAAATTATATGATTATACCAATTAATTTATATAAAATATGCCACCATGCATTATAAATACCGGTCATAACCGTTTCCTTTGCTTATCCTCACGTGCTCGTTTCCCTACCAGAGTCGAATTGACAAAAAAATAAAATCAGGAAAAAAAAATGGAAAAGATTATTGCATTTGTTGTTCTCTTTCCAAGTCTCTTTCTAATGCCTTCAATGGCGGCTAACAACTACAATGTAATAAGGTTTGGTGCCAAACCTGACGGCGTCACCGACTCGACCCGAGCCTTCATCGGAGCATGGCAGGCTGCATGCCGATCCGCCATGGCCGCGACGGTCACGGTTCCACGAGGCAGATACTTGCTGAAAGCTGTTGAATTCCGCGGTCCATGCCGCAGCAGAATCACGTTTCAGATCTCGGGAACGATCGTGGCTCCCTCGGATTACCGCGGCCTCGGGAACTCAGGGTACTGGATCGTGTTCGTCAAGGTTAATCGGATCTCCATAGTCGGCGGGACTCTAGATGCTCGAGGTTCCAGCTTCTGGGCTTGTCGGAAATCTGGAAAGAATTGTCCAGTTGGCGCTCGGGTAAGTGTTATGTATGACATGCAAATATATGTCTGTGTATATATATTCTTGGTCAAGATCTAATTGATAGTTTGGTTAATGGTGCAGTCGATGACGTTTAACTGGGCGAATGATGTGGTGGTGAGTGGGTTGACGTCGATAAACAGTCAGGCGACACATTTGGTGATAAATAGCTGCAACAATGTGATGGTGAGGAGGATAAAACTGGTGGCTCCCGACCAGAGTCCGAACACAGACGGTCTCCACATCCAGGGTTCTGCCGCCATCACCGTCACCGACAGTACGTTCCAGACCGGAGATGACTGTATCTCTATCGGTCCGGGCACTCGTAATCTCTTCATGACCAAACTCAACTGTGGTCCCGGTCACGGTGTCAGGTACTCATTATAATTAACGTTTCGTTTTTCACATGGAATGGTCACTCACTCTACTGGATAACATAGATTTTGACGATGTTTTGCGGCAGTATCGGGAGTTTGGGAAGAGATGCGGATGAGGCCGGAGTTCAGAACATAACTCTGACAAACTCGGTGTTCTCAGGATCCGACAACGGCGTCCGGATCAAAACTTGGGCAAGACAGAGCAATGGTTTCGTCCGAAACATTCTTTTCCAGAATCTGGTCATGAGGAACGTTCAGTACCCTATCATCGTCGACCAAAACTACTGCCCCAGCAATCAAGGTTGTCCCCAACAGGTAACCAACAACTTCTTCTAACCAAAAAAATGAAATTGAAAAAAAACATTGCCATTAATTGTAACTTATCTCGTGCTTCTCCATATTATAATGTTAGGGTTCAGGAGTGAAGATTAGTCAGGTGATGTACAAAAACATTCAGGGCACGTCAAGAACTCAGCAGGCTATGATATTCGATTGCAGCAGAAGGAATCCATGCCAGGGAATACGATTACATGACATTAAGCTTACGTTCATGGGAAAATCCGCAACTTCTTCGTGTAAGAACATCGGAGGAGCTACTTCCGGTGTGGTCATGCCTCGGGGTTGTCTCTGATCCGAGAACACGAATATTAGTTGTTCTTCCGAAACGTTTCAAGAAATAAATATGGCAATCTGCAGTTTGGTGATGATGCCGTCGTGGATGCACGTATTAGATTGCGTCCGGCTATCGATCGAGCGTTTCTTTGTGTTGATGTCGATCCTTCAAAAAAAAAAATGCTTCCTGTTTCTCTTTGATATTGTTATATTGCATTAATCTCCAATTTCGTTACTTAATCTGTCAACCATTTCATGTAAAAATACGAATTATGAAAAATAAAATTGGATTTTAACCTCTCAATTTCGAGCGTTTAACAAGAAGCTAGAAAAAGAATAAACGAGTAAAGACAAGAAGTTTGTGAAAGGAAGAATATTCTTCTTATCTTATTTGAGAGGTACTGTGCAAAATATATATACAACCCTGTAGTGCTAAATCTAAGGAACTACAAAGGAAAGAGAATAATTTTGTTACAGATTACAAGTGATTGTGTAGATTTGATACGAGCGAATATCATGGGTTGATTGAGTCAATGATTGCCTTCCATTATGCCCCGTCAAGAGTGGTGTCGGGTGAGACGCCGATCTTGATTCGTAAGTCTTCAAAACGTGTGCGCGGAAGTGCCTTGGTAAGCCCGTCAGCGAGGCCACTTCATCTGGCGTGACCTTCCCGTCTCGGTCCCTGCAGACGTTTAATGAATTCCAGTCTTTAAACAAATCTAAGGCGACAGAAGAATGGTAAAGCAGAGGGCTAAATTGATCTGCAGACAAGGACAATACGGTCTTGGAGTTGAATATATTGACTCAATTTACAAATAGCTTAGATAAGTGCAAAAAAAGCCGGGATTTTGAATACTGCTAGAGCCAATAAATGGTGTTAGTTGATCCAGGGAGGATTGTTTTACTTCATCCAATGCGATGATGCTGATAATATAACATTCAAGATTTCAATACCTGTCAAGCAGCTGCCAACCTTTGCCAATCTTGACATCCACATCATCAATTTCTTTCTCAAGATTTTGTATCATACCATCAACCTTTGAGGATGAGACACGAATGCAGGATCAGTTAGCTCCAACTCAAAAAAAAAAGATAGAACCTGACAAGGGACAAGAAGCCGCTTAAGTAGGTCGAAGCTTTACCTGTTCCATCAGTGCTGAGGAGACCTCGTCAGCTTCAGGAACTTCGTTGATAATCAATCGCAATGTGTTTCATTCGAGAATGAAACACCGGATTTGCTGCTAGGTAAGTGGCTCCCACATTGTCACAGTAAATGACGGGTGTTGAGTTGAGTTGGATGCCAAGTTCCGATAGAAGAGATTGAATCCAACAAACCTCGGAGGCTGTTGTCGAGACGGCTTTGTATTCAGCTTCTGTCGAAGACTTAGCTGTGAAGCGTTGCTTTTTCGAGCTCCATGATATTGGATTGCATCCCAAGTAAGTTATGTATGCACCCGTAGATCCAAAATCGTCACGATCACCACCCCAATCGGCATCCGAAAAAGCATGTAGATGTGAGATAGAAGTTTTGCGGAAGAGAATACCATGAGAGTTGGTCCCAGCGATGTAGCGTAGTATTCTTTTCACGGCTTTCCAATGATTGTCAGTCGGACATTGCATGTATTGCGAAAGTTTGTTGACGGCGTATGCGATGTCCGGTCTTGTAAGTAATAGGTATTGCAAACCACCCACTGCTTGACGAAATTCCTCAGGATCTGGTAGTGTAACTCCTGTCTTGGCTGAGAGAACCGTTGTTGATGCTAACGGTGTTGGGACCGGGTTGGCGTCACTCATTTTATGCCGAGATAGCAGGTCCTTTATATAACGTTGTTGTGTTAGCCGAACACCATGAGTTGTCTTCGTCACTTCGATGCCTAGAAAGAAAGAAAGCTTTCCAAGATCTTTTAGTGAAAACCGATCAGCAAGAATGTCAATAAACCTTTGAACTTCGTTGGTGTGACTGCCGGTAATGACTATATCGTCAACGTAGACGATTAAGTAGATGATGACTCCTTGTTGGCGAAAGATGAATAGGGAGGAATCAGATAATGAGTTAACAAACCCAGAATCCTTCAAGAAATTTCCAAGCTCCGTGTACCAAGCTCTCGGGGCTTGTTTTAAGCCGTAGATTGCTTTCCGAAGTTTGCAAACATAGTTAGGGCGGTCATGGTCGATAAATCCTGGGGGTTGCACCATATAAACATCCTCATGCAATGTGCCTTGTAAGAAGGCGTTGTTGATGTCAATTTGTCGTAGATCCCATCCATTTGTGACCGCAAGACTGATTATAATTCGGATTGTTGCCGGCTTAATGACAGGACTGTATGTTTCCGTGTAGTCTAAACCGGGTCGTTGGTGGAATCCTTTAGCGACGAGGCGAGCCTTGTACCTGTCAAGTGAGCCATTAGAGAGCCTTTTAACACGAAAAACCCATTTGCAACCCACCAAGTTGAATGAAGGATCCTTTGGAACAAGAGACCAAGTTCCGTTATGAACCAATGCGTTGAATTCATCGGTCATGGCTTGTCTCCACTTCGGGTCTTTTAGAGCTTGCGAGGCACACGATGGTTCTATGTCTTGGGTCGGTGAGATGTTGGTGACAAGGCTGAATTTGGTAGAAGGCTTGGTAATATTATTTTTGGATCTCGTGGTCATTCGATGTATGTTTCTTGGTGGAGAAGGTATCGATAGTGATGTGTGTGGTGAGCTAAGAGTTTGGCTTGGGCTGGTGACAGGTGTTGGTTGTGTGTTTGGTGGAGGAGAGGGTGTGGTGTCTTGTGATTGTGTTGGGTGAGAAGGTGATGTAGATGTCTCTGGTGGTGTTGGAACGCTTCGCGGAGTCAACGTAGAACGAGGCAGCATGTGTGGTGACCATGTGTGTACAATAGATGACCTGGAGGGTAATGGGTGAGAGAGATTTTGGTCTGATGGTTTTTGGCATGATGTAGGTGACTTTTGTCGAAGAAATGGAAACTCGGTTTCGACAAAGTCGACATGTCGAGAGACATATAACCGAGCTGAAGATATTTCTAAGCATAGGAATGCACTTTGTGTTAGAGAATATCCCATGAAGACACAAGGAGTAGAGCGAGGTTGTAACTTGTGTTTCGTATACGGTCGGATCCAAGGAAAGCATAGACACCCAAAGGTGCGGAGTTTTGAGTAGTTTGGATGACGGTTAAAAAGAAGATAGTATGGTGAATTGTTGCCGAGAACCGTAGTCGGCATGCGGTTGATTAAGTACACCGCGGTTGGAATGGCGAAGGTCCAATAGGTGATAGGGATAGACGCATGAGAGAGTAACGTAAGGGCTGTTTCTACTATATGTCTATGCTTTCTTTCGGAAATCCCGTTATGTTCGGGAGTATGTGGTGGCGTGGTAAAATGAGATATCCCATTAGAGGAAAGAAAATTTGTGAGTGCAATGTACTCTCCTCCATTATCCGAATAGAGGGAGACAATCTTGGTTCGAAATCGGTTTTCGACAAGGGCTTTAAACTTAACAAATACGAGATGGACATCGGATTTCTTTTTGAGAGGGTATAGCCACGTGTATCGTGTATGATGGTCAACAAATATTACGTAATATTTGAAGCCATCAAATGATAAAACGGGAGACGTCCATACGTCGGAAAATAAAATTTCTAAAGGCCGAGAGGAAGACAAAGATGAAGTTGAGAAAGATTGTTTGTGGCTTTTATTTATAAAGCATGAATCACAAGACAACGAGGAACTCGACATAGACGACATGGGAAGTGAAAAACATGACACAATTTTATTAAGAATATCGCTTGAGGGATGACCTAAGCGGTTGTGCCAGTGAAAAAGCGGTGTTTTGACCGTGGGAAAAGCTTGAGGAAGGACATTTTGGGTTGACTTGGGGAACAAGAAAGGCCATTCGTACACACCATGATTAGGCTGCCCTCGAACTATTGTTGTTCCCGTTTGGCGATCCTTCACCTGAAAATGATCGGCGAAAAATTCAACGGAGACATCGTTAGTGGAGCAAAGTTTATTGATGGAAATAAGGTTTTTATGAATATTAGGGACATGGAAAACACGGTCTAAAGCAAAGTTTCGAGAGGAAGAGGGTAAAGACATAGAACCGGTGTGTGCGATTTTGAGCCCTGTGCCATCACCAATTACCACCTCATCTCCTCCGTTGTATGGTTCATGAAGTGATAGGTTGTGTAGATCGGTGGTGATGTGGTGTGACGCCCCGGAGTCTAGGAGCCAAGACGACGAAGTAATGCCGGCATGATTTGCCACTGGTTGCCACGGAGTGTTGTTTCGAGGTGCCTGGAATTGTTGTGCATTAGAAAATCCAGTAGATGAACGGAGATGACGGCAGTACCTTGCGCTATGTCCCTGAATACCACAGATCTGACATTTTCCCTGGTAACCCCGAACAGGGTTGTTCAAAGGCCGAGAATGACGTGCTTCTTGCTGAGGTTGTCGAGGGTTGGACCTCCAGGATTGTCTAGGCTTGTTCTGCACCGTATTGGCAGTAACCGGAATTCCAGTTAATTCGTGAGACGATGTAAGGATATCAACTTCAGCCGAGATAAGTTTCTCGTGAAGCTCAACAAAAGATATTGTGGTGTCTTTTGCTTGAACCACGTCTTTGATTGACTTGTATTCTTCTCCTAGCCCAGCAAGAATTAGATCGAGGAGATCTTCACCATCCATTGGTTTTCCAAGAAGTGCAAGTTCGTCACTTTTAACTTTGTAGAAGTTCATGTATTCGTCGATGGATTTCGTCCCTTTGGTGTGTCGACGGAGCTGCTCCTTTATTTGTTTGATATGACCTCGGCTGGAACGACCATATGTCGTGGCAAGTGTGACCCATGCATCACCGGAGGAACGAGCCGAGGCTATGAGTGCTTGGCAGGATCCAGAAACTGATCCAAGTAAAGCCGAAAAAACCAGTCGATCTTGGCGAAACCATGGGGTATAGGCCGGATTAGTCGTCGAGACATTGTTGGTAGTGATGGTTGGTGATGGAGCTGTAGTCGGGTCGAGAAAGCTGTCAAGGTTATAACCTTGAAGAAGAGCTCGGATTTGAACACTCCAGGTAATGTAGTTCAAAGCGGTGAGCTTGGTAACATTTGATATGTTGACGTGAATCAAGGTGGTGTGGGGGTTTTGAATGTCAAACGGGGTGACATTGTCATGTGTCGGAGTTGTAGACGAGGTATTCTCAGTTGACATGGTTGATGGCTATAAGTCTGAGAGATAAGATGTAGATGGCCGAAGGAAAAAAATTAGAGAGTCGTTTGACAACAGGCTCTTGATACCATGAAAGGAAGAATATTCTTCTTATCTTATTTGAGAGGTACTGTGCAAAATATATATACAACCCTGTAGTGCTAAATCTAAGGAACTACAAAGGAAAGAGAATAATTTTGTTACAGATTACAAGTGATTGTGTAGATTTGATACGAGCGAATATCATGGGTTGATTGAGTCAATGATTGCCTTCCATTAGTTTGTGTCTGATTGTAAAATGCAAACATGCGAGGATGTGTCTGATAAGCCCAGAGGGCTGAGACAGGGGAACACTTCCGATGAAACAGAGGGTTAGGGAGGGTATAAGCGTCTTTTGTTCACGTCAAGTCGTTTTGTTAGTTGGGGAGTGGCATTATCGTCCTTTGTATACATCAGCTTTCGTCATGCACCAAATAATTTAACTGATTTAGCGGATTTTATATCCGGTTTAATCCCCCAATTACATTGTTTATTAAATTGATAACAACTTAATCACGATCATTAGTATAAGCACCGCATGACATGGATCGTTATTTTCCAATTTTGAATTATGGTCATGTTTTTGTGTTGATGTTGATCCCTCAAGAATAAAAAAAAATACAAATATATGGAAAAAAATAATGAAATTAGATTTGAACTCCACAACTGTGGGAAGTTTGTGTCTGAAATGTAAAATACAAACATGTGAGGAGGATGTCTAATTTAATCTACAATTAAGAGGGCTCGTACTTGCCAACATTTTTCTCAAAAGACTGTGTTCTGTTTCTAAACGTCAACGTTTGCTGCCCGGTCCATGTCGGCTCTCGTCCGAGTTGGAACTGTTCTCCGGCCTCTGACGATGCGACCCTCCTTGGCTCTTCTTCCCGCTCTGCGACTCAGATGACGAGCCGCCTTGGTTCTTCTTCAGACTCTGGGGCTTGGGCTCGATCCTCAACGTCTTGGCCGAGAAGCAGTGGCGGACGTGGACACAGTGGCTCACAGTCTCGGTGGAGCAGCCGCCTTGAACGTTGACCACGAGAGCCGCCTCTTTATCTCTCGTGTCCTCGCACCACCAGTTCTGAGGTATCCCGTCCACCAACTCTTCCAACGTGTGAAACTCCTCGTGGTGAACCGACACCTCCACGAAACCATCTGGTTTTATCGTCCCTGCCGCCGGTGTCACCTGCATATATATATATATATGTATGTGTGTATGTATGTATGTATATACCAGTCATGCCCGGATGACTTACGAACCGACTCCTCGTGTAAGTTTCATACCTCGAGCCATTGCGGAAAACCAAAGGAGCCTCGTGGATGATACTCGGCTGCTGCTGCTGCCACATCTTCGTCCTCTCGGACAGTGGTCTGCCCCTCACACAAGATCCTGAAAACGGCTTTTTCTTTGGCGGACTTGTTAGTGATGCGTAGAACGTAAGTGTCCTGGTTCTGTAGAACGATGTTGTCGCTGCTGAGAACGATCTCGGGGACGCAACGCAGTTCATCCAACATCGCCCTGACCTTCTCGTTTGTCTGAATGATCCTACCAAACTCCTGTCTCCGGACTGACCTATCGACATGCTCTATCTTCACGTGGAACTTGCAACGTACCGGTTTGTGATCACTCTCTGTTACGTCCATGCAGGCCTCGTATCTTTCGTTTTTTCGAAAAACAAAATTTTTTTTTGTTAGAGATTGAAAGAAAGAATCAATCACGGGATGGATTTGTAAAAAAGTGAAACCCTACAGCATGACTGAGGCAACTACAGGGCAGTCTAGACTGCACTCGGAATCCGGACCGCTACGAGTGTCTCTGTATATTACTCTGTCACACCATGCGGGAATCCGCTTCTTCTCCCCGGAATCATATCCTGACAAAAAGGAAAAGAATCGATGGGAAAATGATCTTTCTGTGAACATCGAGCTCTTGAAAAGTCGGTTCGTACATGCATTGTTCTATACCTCCTAAGCCGGATTTATGCCTTTCGAACTTGTAAGTCGGAGGGAAAGTGATGATAGCCTCACGCATTCCTTGGAAAACTTTGCCGGCCTTCATCTCGGCTCTGAGCTGATCTTTTTCTCTAAGCCAATCGAAGCTTCTCTGCGAGACAAAGTCCCTTGCTTCGTCGTACGATATTCCAAAGAGCCGGTAGTTAAAATCTCCGAAGAATATGACCATGTCCGCCTCTGCTAAATCCTGCTTCGTCTCTTCCGCATTGACGTTTGCATTCTGCGCACAAAGGAATGTTCAGAGAGATGGAAATGTAAAGCAAGTTCAAATCTTCTCTCATCTATTCTCGAAAACGGATAGGAAAGAGGCGATACGTTCGAGCTCTTCGTTGTGTGAGACCCGGTAGACACACCGGCTGCAAAAGTTTAAAAAGCCATGACTATGAATGAGGATGATGATATTGACCGGCGAAATTCAGCAGCGAAATTCAGTAAGGAGGATAAATTACCGGCCGGTGCATTGTTCGTGTTTGATGGCCGGGAAAAAGACATCGTCTTGTAAATGTGGTCGAAATCAGCATTCCGTCGGTTGACGGCTTCCAAATGCGCGGCCAAGTGACAGTTAATGAAGCACATTATCCGATCAAACACCCTTATCCTCAAACCCACACCTCCCTTGTTTTTTTTTTCCGACATACATCCATACAATAAAACAAGTGAGACTACAACAATGTCGGACCGAGACACGAGTTTCTTTTCCATATCCAAATCTTTAAGGATAGGAAAAATGAGTACCTTATTTCCGATTGCACGGCCAAACCCGCAAGGGACTGCTGCAACATCAATATCTCCGGCATGGGTTCTCAGATTCTTCCTCACCCTTAATTCATAAATCGCAAACGTTAGGACATTTGTAATGGAGAAACGGTTCTGTAATAAAACACGGTATATCCACGAAAGGGTTTCCTCACCAAAGAGATATAAGCAGGCCGGCTAACTGCCTCGAACCCATACGTTCAAAAACCGTCTTCTCGTCCAAGGCCTTCCCTATCGTGTCTATCCACCACTGCCCTACCGAACTCCCTTCATTTCCTCCTACCTAAGATAGAAACATTAAGAGGTAAAAATAAAGCCGATATTCTAAAGATCGGATATCTGTTTCGGTTATTTTCTCACCGTTTCTTTAGCTGCTGACATAGCCAGGAAACCGGCACCCATTTCCACTTCTTGTAACCCGACAACGAGAATTCCGACATCTGATGATACAGAACCCAACCAAGACATGAGTGAATCATGGGATGCTCTTCCCTGTCCGACATTCCATGAACCGATCAGGACCCTAACATTGTCTGTTTGCGCGTATATCCGCTCTTTTTCGGCCAGTTCCAACCGTATTATTCCATCCAGAGGCCCGGGAGAAATCACGTGCCACCCTCGTATACCTCCGTGAGTGGCTAAGCTGAATACGTAACCATCAGCAGCCGCCATCTTTATCACGGCGTTGTTGTGGGCAACCCATCCTGCCACTAGATTGCCTTCGAGATCGATTATTTGGATGTGACCACTAACGTAACCCACATACACTCTCTCGCCGAAAGTGCAGAAACACAGAACGGCGCATTGGTGGTGGCGGAAATCCTGCACTCGGCTTCCGTTTCCGTCCCATTGTATGATCAATCCGTTTGTGCATCCAGTCCATATCATTCCATCACCGGTTGACACTACTGCTTCCGTCTTTTTGTTGTCCTCGGCAAATGCACCTGCTCCTCTCGTTGCAACCCGACGAACAGCGTCCGCTGCTCCCATTATAGCGTTTCTCGACCGTTGCAAGAATCCATGCGGTTTCTCCTTTTTAGACGAGGAAACAAACTTCACCTTCATCTCGTCTTCTGCTGCTGGCTGATCTTGCCCGGATGGCATTTCGACCCGGTTTTCATTCTGACCCTCGATGTTGAACACTCTCAGTAGCTCCTTTGTTCTAGCATCCCTGCCATAGATAGAATGCATCGCCGCCAAGGGCATGAGACACAACTTACTAGAAGATTTTGGACAAAAGTTTGTCGTTTTTACCCGAAATCTACTTACCATAATGAAAATGACTGAGGCTGAGCTGCCCAGACTTTAGCTCTTACGTTATCCGCTAACAAGCATTTGACTTCAGAGGAAGATATGCTGCAAGTGCCGTTCACAGTCACTTGAGCCCTCAGATCGATGCCTGACCTCTCCACCAACAATGCCGCCATATGCTTCTCCTCTGACCTAAGCGAAAGGGATTTCTCCATTGATTCCCATCTCCATATCTTGATTACACCACCTTCTGAACATGACCACATATCACCTGCCAATTCCCACACAACAAAAGTCTTCACCTTTCAGAGTTTTTCAGACAGAAGTTGTAAGAACAGGCAGAGGAGGCGTACCGTAAAAACTCATGATGATGGAATTGACGGGACCCTTGTGAGCTTGCCATGAGAGGCCTTCCTTGAAAGGGCTCTTATCATCAGCGACAAGATCCGTCCTCCACGACCGGATCTTCCCGTCCTTGTGGCCACTCCAGACGAGCCTATTCCCGTTGTCGACCATCAAACACGTTGTGGGAGAAGTGTTGGTCGACTCGTGAAACGGAGCGGCGTCCTCGTCCCCCCTCCTGACCCGGCCGTTGAGCCCACACCCCGGCGCGAACGCGTCCTCGAAGTTCCAGAATCTCACGCCGCTCTCTTGCCCTGCCCACAATTGCGTCCCCGTGCACGCAATGTTCCTTAGGAACCTCCCGACCTGCGTCTCCCGCAACGGATGCGGCCGGAGCTCGAGACAAGGCGGCCGAGCCGAGTGCACCGCCGACCGGAGCGGCACCTTGAACATGCCCACTCCGCCTCCGGAGCCAATAAACTCCGGCAACGGCTGAAAATCGTCGCTGATCTCCGGCTGAGGGATGACAACGTAGTCGTCGGCGTCGCCGCTGTCACCGGAGGCGGTGACAGACGTCCAATTGGAGGCGGCGTAAGGGTAAAACTCGTCATCGGAGTCTTCGCCAGCGATGTCACCGGTCCCGGAGTGGATCTCGATCTTAGGGATGTCATCGAGGCTGCCTCGGCGGTAACGGTGGTGACCCTTTTTGCCGGAGGAGGCACGGGGCTGGTGGCTGTAGGAATGGATCTTACGCGGCGGAGGAACGCCGGATATTACGGCGTCGTCGTTGTCATCGGCGACAACGTTGTGTTTATCCATAGTTTGAACAGGGAAAGATCGAAACAGAGAGAGAATGGAAGAAGAGGAAAGAGAAAAGGAGAGGGGGAAATGTAAGAGGAGAGAGAGAGATGAAGCGGAGTGTTCGGGAGAGACATGGCGATGAGTTTACGGACAGGAGAGTTTCTTTCTCCTTCGCCTTCCGCCATGTTTGGTCGGACAAAGTTTCTGCCCAAATTCTATTTATAACCAGCGAAACGACGCCGTTAGTATCAATGGTGAGAGAAAAAAATTGGGTTTTAGGGGCTTTGATTCGAGTCCTATATGCCGAACGCTGTAAAGCAATGATATAAAATGTATTATTTCATTTAATTCTAAAATGTTTGATTTCGTCTTTGGGTATATATATATATATAGATATTGAAGTTTATAAACTATATGTAGTGAAATACGGTCTAAATCTTCGTCAACAATTTTAGACCGTAACACATAAGCTGGTAACGGAAATTAAAATCGACATTTGGTTTCATATATAATAGACGATACCATCAAGTTTATAAACTTACAGAAAAAAATAAAATAAAACCATAACGTTCATCGATTAAAATGAAAACACATACGAAATATATATAACGCATAATATCAATCATTACAATTTGATTATTGATAATCAGATTCATGGACAGACTTTATTATAAGATCCTCAGTTCGTCTTTTTCCACCTCCCCAACTTTTCTTTCCCCTGCCCATAACCAAGACACGAATTTTAAATGAAGGGAGACCCTAATTGATTCCTATATATATATATATATATAGTAATTGTAATAAACGTGAATACGGAATATTATCGACAATCATGGTACGGTCGATATAGGAAACGCGGCTTGTACCTTGCGAGTTACCAAGGCATGTTCATTGTCCTCGATGGACACCGCTTTGAACCCTAATGGAATCAGAACCTCTTCGTAGCTGAAACCCGGAGAAGAAGAAAAAAATAATATTAGAGATATATACGAATCTCTGATAATTTATCCCGATAGATATATGAAACGATGAAATGACAAGACGAGAAGAGGGAAACGAGGATTTACGTCGAGACATCGACTTTGTATGGAGGTCCGCCGTCATGGTCGGTGATCTAACCCCACGTGCCAAATAATAAGAAAGAATGCATGCTCTTAGTATATATTTCAATGCCAAATGTGATATGCATGCTCATTCGATGAAGAAAAAGAAAAAGGAACGATCATATGTGTGTGTATATGTACCGGATACATGAGAGTAAGCAATTCGCCGTCGGGTTTGAGGAGTTCGTGCATTGCCTTGCCCCACGCCGGTCTTTGCTCGGGTTCAATTGCACAGAAGAATCTGTCGTACGACGTTTCCGATTTTACGTAACATATATATACATTGCCATTATTTCAAAAATCATTCAAGACTCCTTGCTCTAAGCATCTTATCCATATAAAAACATTACCATATATATATATATATATATAGTAATGTGTCGATCGAATGAGATGGTGGAAACTCACACGTAATCGAAGATGAGATCGAACAATTCGTCGGGGCGCCAAGTGAAAACGTCTTCCTTAACGAATGTGAAGTACTTTGAGTTCGGCTCTTGGGCGTACCTCTGCATCATTTGGAAGAAATATCCACCGGATATATTATATATATGATGTGGGGATATATATATATTCTTGAAATGGTTTTATATATATATATATATATATATATAGAGAGAGAGACGTGAAAAACAGTACCTGGGTTGCTTTGGTTAGAGCATTTTCTGAAATGTCCAATCCAACAACGAAGCGTTCGGGGCCTGCCATTGCAACCACGTCGTGGCCCTACATTCCATATCATCATCATCATCATCATCATCATCATCATCATCATCATCATCATCATTAGATACAAATTTCTAAGGCACAGCTTGGACTGTCATTTACTTACGCTTGAAAACGTCTTAATCTAAAACAGCACATTAATATTTGCTGGGGTATAATTAATAGTCAAAATCTGTCAGAAGTGATTGGATCGAGAGGCAAGGAACTGCTGTGTATTGTGGGAGCTCTGCCCAAGTATATGTACAACGAAAACAATAACAGAACCTAGTAACTAGCGGAGGAGATCTCTCCTAAAACCAGTGAAAGTCTATCTAATAATATAACTAAATATACAATGTATATACGCTGAATAATCTCAGCCAATACCCCTCAAGTTGGTGAGTGCAAATTATGCAATCCCAACTTGCCAAGAAACCAAGCAAATTCCTTTTTCCCTAACGCTTTGGTGAAAATATCCGCCAGTTGTTCCCGTGTTGACACATGACGCGGAAGAATGTTTCCATGATCGAGGTGATGTCGAAGAAAATGGCAGTCCACCTCAATATGTTTCGTGCGTTCGTGGTAAGCATCGTTGGATGCGATATGGAGAGCGGCTTGACTATCACAAAACAGCAACATTGGTGAGGAATGGTCCACACCGAGAGTAGATAGAAGGCTCTTGATCCAGAGAAGTTCGCAAGTGGTGAGACGCATGGCGCGATATTCGGATTCTGCCGAGGACAACGACGGAATGGATTGCTTCTTAGTCTTCTATGAAATTGGGGAGGATCCGAGTTGGACGAACCACCCACTAACGGATTTGCGGGTGAGGGGGCAACCGGCGTAGTCTGCATCACACCAGCCACGGAGACGAAGATCGCAATCAGATCGAAAGAGAACTCCTTGACCCGGGTCTCGTTTTAAATAACGAACGACATGCATGGCAGCGTCCCAATGGTCCTGTCGAGGCGTGTGCATAAACTGTGATAGAATGTGAACAGAATAAGCGAGCTCCGGGCGAGTAACAGTTAGGTAAATGAGGCGACCCACGAGACGGCGATATTTCCCGGCATCGGTGAGAAGAGGACTATCGGACAACGAAAGACGGTGGTTTTGATCCAATGGAAAATGGGCCGGCTTGCAACCTAGTAACCCAACCTCGGAGATAATGTCGAGAGCATACTTCCGCTGACAGATATAAATACCGGTCTTGCTGCGAGCGACCTCAAGTCCAAGGAAATATTTAAGCGTACCCAAGTCCTTCATACGAAAACACGAACCAAGATACGACTTGAAGGCATGTAGAGCAATAGACGAGTTCCCTGAGATGATCAAGTCGTCCACATAGACTAGAACACACAAGTGTACGGAACCTTTGCGGAAAGTAAACAACGAGTGATCCGATTGGGACTGAACAAACCCGTACCTTATAAGGGCCGAGCGGAGCTTTTCGAACCAACAACGTGGAGCTTGACGCAAACCATACAGGGATTTACGGAGGCGGCATGCGTAACCGTGTTCTGGAGACTCGAAACCCGGTGGCATGCGCATGTAAACTTCTTCACGCAAGTCACCGTGTAGAAACGCGTTATGAACATCCATCTGATGAATATCCCAATTCCGAGCAGCGGCAACAACTAAGAAGGTGCGAACCGTGACCATTTTGGCGACGGGAGCAAAAGTCTCTCCATAGTCTAGTTCGTCAACTTGACGATTTCCCAAGACTACCAACCGAGCTTTATAGCGTTCAACGGAACCATCGGAGCGATACTTAATTTTGAATATCCATTGACACCCAATTGCCTTCTTCCCCGGAGGAAGGGGTTCAATGGTCCACGTGCGATTATCTTCCAAAGCCGCAATCTCGGCCTGCATAGCTGCCTTCCATCTTGGGTCGCGAAGTGCGTCTTTGTACGAACGGGGCTCTGTGCCGTCTGTGATGGATGCAAGGAACGCGCGGTGAGTTATCGAGAATTTCGTGCACCCAACAAAATCCGAGAGAGGGTAAGGAACAGCCGAGGAATGTTACAAAGGGAAAGGCGGTCTGGAGACAAGAACCGTGTTGGTGACGTAATCCCGAAGACGAGTAGAAGAATAACGTGTACGTTTTCCTCGACCAAGATCCTCTGCGGGAGGAGAGTCGGAGCTGGATGGAGGGCAACCCCCCCTGTCGTTAATATCATCAGGTGGTAAAGAAAGGACGATCGCAGGTGATGAAACAGAGTTGTTCGACACTGTTGCCGAATCCGAAAGGTCCGCGAGAACAGGAGAAGACGGAGTAGCTGGTGGCAGCACACGATCCTCGTCATCAACAAAAGTTGGCCAGGGACTCGAAGGTAACGGCGAGGGAGACAAGGATGCCGGTGGGATTTCCAAGAACGGAAAACGATCTTCGCAAAACACAACGTCTCGAGATACAAAGAACCGGCTAGTTGCAAGGTCAAACAGACGCCATCCCTTCTTACCTTGAGGATATCCAACAAACACACTCCGAATGCTCCGTGACGCAAATTTGTCGCCGTGAAGGGACTTGTTGTGTGCGTAGCACAAGCAACCCACCGTGCGCAGATGTTGATAACCCGGTTGCCTGGCATAAATTATCTCAAAGGGAGAACGCCCATTTAACAGCTTCGTGGGTGTTCGATTGATGAGAAACCCGGCTGTTAAGACACAATCACCCCAGAACTCGATCGGAAAATTAGCTTGGAACATAAGAGCACGAGCAACATTGAGTATGTGTCGATGTTTGCGTTCGACACGACCATTCTGTTGAGGGGTGTGAACGCACGATGTTTCGTGTATGATTCCTTGTGCACGGAAAAAATTACCGAGACATGTGAATTCCGTTCCGTTGTCACTGCGAACAACCCGAACTTTCTTGTCGAACTGTCTATCAACCATTGCTAAAAAAGCAATAATCTGATCAGAAACGTGACGTTTATCGGGCATAAGAAACAACCAAACACCACGAGAGAAATCGTCTACAATCGTCAAAAAATAACGAGCACCACAGAATGACGGTGTTCGATACGGTCCCCACAAATCACAGTGGATAAGCTGGAAAATATCAGAAGTTTTATTAGAACTTTGTGAAAAAGAATCTCGTGTCTGCTTTGCACGAAAACAAACATCACAATCAACTGAGAAACTAATAGGTCGATTTAATCCAAGTCCCGAAATCTGCTCTAGCACAGCGTTCGAGGGATGTCCTAATCGTCTATGCCACACTTCAAACGAAACACCGATATCTGTACGAACAGCCGATGCAACCTCAAACCGCCGAAAATAATAGAGTCCATCGCGTAACTCACCCGCTCCAATCACCATCTTCGAATCCCGGGCCTGAATGGAGCAAAAACGATCAGTGAACTCAACGACGCAGTCACAATCAACTGAGAAACGGAGATGAGGTTGACATGTAATCCGTCAACAAACAATACGTCAGAAAGGGCAAGGTTATCCGAGAGATAGACAGAACCGGACTGAGTAGCACACGAAACCCGACCATCCGGAAGGGTAATCCGACAAGGAGACACCGGAACACCGTGTCGCAACTCAGCAACACGCCCTGTTAGGTGACGCGAAGCTCCTGTATCCAGAATCCAAGGGACAGACGAAAACGTACCCGAAGATGTGGTTGGAGCACTGATTTTACCGGCATTGAGAAGGGATATCAGGGCTTTCCATTGGTCACCATTTAAACCAGTAGATGAAGAAGCATCGGAGATGACAGAAGCAGGAGGTGTAACAGCAAGAGTGCCAGAAGAAGCAGTCTGAACAGAGTTTGCAGGAACTGTCCCCCGTCCGCGAGAAAACGATGTTGAACCACGACCTCGACCCGAGCGACTGCGGGGACGGTCACCCCACCACTCCGGGTACCCCAAAATCTGAAAGCAGCTTTCAACGACATGACCGGACCGGCCACAATTGGTACATAGAACAGTCTTGTCCTTTACCGCTGGAGTTGGACGAGGTTTAGACTCAACACCAACCGAGAATGTCGCGATATCAGACGCAGCTGCTGAGAGAGACACCGAATCTTTGGAAGCTTCATCTTGGGTAACGACCAGATATGCTTCTTCCACCGTCGGTATAGGTTGACGGGAAAGCAAGTTCGATCGAACAACACCGAACTTTTCGTCGTCAAGGCCAAGAAGAAATTCATAGAGTCTATCTTCCTGTCGCTGCTTCTCGAAGTCTGCAGCAATATTGCAGGTACAAAACCCACAGCGACAGGTTTTGAGAGGACGAAGCGTAGCGAGATCATCCCACAATTTGGTGAGCTTGCCAAAATACGATTCCACAGACATCCCTTTCTGACGACAATTGACAAGCTCGCTGCGAAGACGAAGGAGACGAGGAGCACTCGTCATTCCGAATCGGCGCTTGAGATAATCCCACAGATCTCTAGCGAATTCACGGTGAACAACATCCGAGCGGAGAGATGGCTCAAGAGTGTTTTTAATCCAGGAAACAATAAGCGAATTATTCGTTTCCCAGTCTTCATAATCAGTCGAATCGGAATCCGGATGAGTGATTTTGCCGTCAACAAAACCGAACTTCTTCCGAGACTTCAAGGCATGACGCATATTAATTGACCACTCTTCGTAGTTGTGGCCACGTAAGAGAGGCTGTGACAAAACGAGACCCGGATTGTCACTGGGACTGAGGTCGTAGGGAGAAATTGTTCGCCGAGGAGTTTCAACAGGCAAAACCGTCGGAGTCGAGGCCATAGTCGGGCCGGTAGAGTCGGGGTCGAACGAAATAGAAGAAGTCATAAGAGAACAGAAAGGAAAAAAGAAAAAAAAACGTGGATCAAGAGCAACTAGGCTCTGATACCATGTCAGAAATGATCGGATCGAGAGGCAAGGAACTGCTGTGTATTGTGGGAGCTCTGCCCAAGTATATGTACAACGAAAACAATAACAGAACCTAGTAACTAGCGGAGGAGATCTCTCCTAAAACCAGTGAAAGTCTATCTAATAATATAACTAAATATACAACGTATATACGCTGAATAATCTCAGCCAATAAAATCTTAGTTTATGTAGGCAAAGAAAATGAAAACAAGAATCTAATTTTATATACGCCTGATAAAATTACAAGAATGAAGATCTTAAACCGCATTAGATCAACTAAACCCTAAAATTCCCGTGATCTATTAGGTTCTAGATGGCCATAGAAGCCGACGGACGATTTGATTGTTCGAGTGACGACGGTCCATCCATGCTACATATATATACACACCGAAACATATAATGGCATTATTATAGAATGTAAAAATTATTATGAAAATGTAGAGAGAGAGAGACTGACGCCGCCGCAACCGGGGACAAGGGTACGGCCAGAGGGGAGAGAGGAAGAGTGGAGGAGATGGAGGATGAGAGGTGTGGGTCTTCCCAAGTCCCATGGCGTTATCTTCTCTATCCAGCACTTGTCCCATCCTCCTTTCATCATCACAAACAAATCAAACGCACTCACATTATATATATATATATATATATATATATATGTATATTAGATCGATTAAGCCCTAATTATATATATATATAAGCATGCAAATACGAATTGTTGTTATTATGACCAGTACCTTCTGCCACAGCTTTGGGCAAGAAAGTGGCAGCTTCTTCGGGAGTTGGGATCTGCTCGTCCGAGGCGCCATTGATGATACTCTCCGTCTCTTCTTCTTCTTCTCCTCCAACCTGAACGTTCTTGACCACCCTTTCTTCAGACATTTTTAGGGTTCTAATCTCTCTCTCTCTCTCTCTCTCTCTCTCTCGCTGAAGCGTTTAGGCCCTGCACCCACAATGTCTATGTATGTATAGAAGCACCTGCTACGAGGAAAGATAAACTTTATTAGAGAGAAAATGTGTGTGTATGTGTGGCTGTCAATCATACGTAGCAGAGCCGTCCCACGTACAAAATATATTTTTATTTTTATAAAAATATTAAATAATTTTTTTAATTATATTAATTGATAAATTTAATGTTAAAAAATCACAAACATAACTCAAAAATTATAAAATTTTAATGATGATAATTACGAAACTTTGTCAAATATAATTTTAATTATTTATCATATGTATATTAATAAATATAATTATAAATTATTAGTATTTAAAAATCATTTTTTAAAAATGTGGGGTTCATCAAATTGTGGGGCTCTGTGACCTTACTCCACTTGCACATGCCTTTTTACCGTCTTATCGTGACACCCAACACATAAAGTGGAATCACGTTGTCTATTGTCTTTTTCAACCTTACTCTCGAAGTGCGTAGCAAAATTGAAAATTATATGTACAAATTAAGAAAATTTTTCAAAACTGCAATTATATATATATTTTTTTAAAGAGCAAAAAAAAAAAAGAGAGAAGGGAAATCAAGCACGACACGATGGAGTTGGTACAATTTTGTCACCAATTTCTGTGAATCTCCACAGTTCCGTCGGCGTTACAAAAAGAGACAATGATAACGATAGATTCGGTATTTGATCTGGGTTTCCGTAAAAAAATATTTCAGTTCGGCTTTTTTTAGTTTTATAAAAATAGATATTATTATTATATCATATTCCACATTCGATTGGCATTATATCAAAAATATCCTTAAAATGCTACTTCTACTTCAACACCTACCCTTGTGACCATGTGACCAATGTGACCGAAATATAGTGTGGTCACATATTGATCTCATTGTTCATAACGTTAAATTTATGATGTTTTAATCAAATGATTAGTAAGATATACAAGGTATGAACATAATGAATTAGTGTGATCACCATAAATTTAACGTTATAATCGATAAAAATCAAAATGTGACCATACTATATTTCGGTCACATTGGTCACATGTGACCAGGGTAGGTCTTGAAGTAGAAGTAGCATTTTAAGGGTATTTTTGATAATGCCCCCATTCGATTTGAGTTCAGGATCAATTCCGCCTTTTATAAAAAAAATTAGATCTTTTAAAAAAAATCAATTTTTCAGATTTTTTAAAATTTCGATTTGGTTTCAAAAAATGCGATTTTTTTAAAAATTATTACCGTTCAGAAATTTTGATCGATTCAGATAGATAAAAAAAACTATATTTTTTGGTTCGGTACGATTTGATTGGCAGAACCGAAATGTCCAACCCTAGCCCTAGATGACGATAACAATTGGGGACCAAAGGGGGCTGTTACCAACAACCATAAAAACGAGTTAATAAAAACGCTTTCATATATATATATATAAATCTGTAGATATTTTGAATCGTACATATATATATAATAAAAACACACCAGAAGACATTTATAAATAACCATCATAACCTTCCATCTCTAAGTTAATCTACAATCAAGACTGCACGTGCATGCATACATACTTTCCAATACAATTCTCAAAGATGAGTCTTCAACGTTTTGGTCTCAACATATTCAGATAATGAAACACGGAAGTAGGATAGGATATGAAACAAAAAAACTTTGTATTAGCAAAATTATATATATATATATATATATGTAAATCAATTACATGATAAAGCAGATGATAGTGTGAATTTACAGGCTCTGCAGTGTGTGTTACCTGGTATATGCAAGGACACCTAATGGCTTTGTCTCAAGGCACGGTCTTTGTATATAAAGCAGAGAACTTTGAGATTGGGTGTTCATGAAAACATCACAAGGTGGACTGGACGAAGAAGGGCTTCTTCCATCTTCCCAGCTTCTCCACTCCCTGAGAAATCGTATATATTCCAAATTCAACTCAAGAACCACTCTTTGATCCAACAGAGTTTCCGGAATCCGGACCAAGGAAAAACCCGAGATTTTGCATTGGTGTTATACCTTGCGTGGTCTTACGGCGAGTTTATTATCCTCGATGGATGCTACCTCGAACCCTAGAGGAATCAGAATCTTCTTGTAGCTGCAGATGACATGAGAGGTTACAAACCGAAAAAATGCTGAGGGAATTCTCTTTGTGATCGTGATACGCATCGAAGAAAGAAACAGTAAAGTTCCTCTGTGAAAGGGTGCGAAAGAGAGATTACTCGGATACAGATATGCTGTAAGGAGGTCCTCCGTCACGATCATCTAACTGCGATGGCATATTCAGATTTCAGATTTCACCGATATGTGGATACGAGGGTTAAAAGCTTTCGGAACCCAACATGTTATCAGAACAAGTGAGAGTGATGTTATGATTCTCTTACAGGGAACATCAGTGTTATAAGCTCTCCTCCAGGTTTCAGAAGTTGCTCCACTCGCTTTGCCCATGATGGCCTCATTTCGGGAGGAAAGGCGGTCAGAAAACTGTGAGAAATTGTCAGAATCCTGGTTTATAAGGCAGAGTAACATAGCATTTCATATTTAACAAGGAAATACATTTCAAACATACGTGTAGTCGAAAATGAGATCAAATTGTTCAGGCGGCTTCCAAGTGAAGAAGTCTTCAGCCAGGAACGAAAAATACTTCGAATTAGGCATTGAGGAAAACATCTGGCATTGATCATATCAAACAAAGTATTAACTAAAGTATCATGATGACATGTAATGTATCCTACATATATGATAGATCCAACCCTAGGACATGTATCCTCACCTTTTTCGATCTCTCAATGGATGTTTTTGATAGGTCCAACCCTACGACATGGCGGTCAGGGCATGCCATTGCCACCACATCATAACCCTGCAAGAACCATGTTTCATTTTGCCTTCAGAAAACATAATATAGTAAGTCAGCATTATAAGACAGAGCCATAGTTCAGAACTGTATCAAAACACCAGAGATTTAACTCCACTCAAATTCCAATCCTTCATTTCCGACATATAAGATGTACAAACGCAGACTTACTGAGCCACAACCAGGAACCAAAGCCCTTCCCTTTGGTAATGAACCGGTCTCGCTTAGATGAACAACAATGGGTGTTGCTTCTCCCAAGTCCCATGGAGTATTTCCCGCTTCCCATGTCTTCTCCCATCCACCTACAAACAACGACATGAACACGATCACCAAAACCTGGTTATGCGAACGATTTCATCCACAGCAAAACTACAGATTCATATATATTCTCTATCTCGAGGAAAAGGGCAATCGCGATCTTCATCCTTTTCCCTTCCTAATAACTCGTGATCGTCGGAATCTTCGAACGTCACAACTGAGAAAAACCCAATCCCAGAAAAAATTAGGGTTTGAGATGCTACCAGGGCCTTCCTTCAGAAAATCCTGGAGCAGCTCGATCTTTTGATGGGGCGTCTTCACGCCGGAGCCGCCGGATTCAGGAGCTCTAACGGCACTATCCATGGATCTACCGGCGAGAAAGAAAACGGATTTTCGGGTCGCCGGATCTACTTTAAACGGAGAAGCTGCGGCGGAGCGAATCGGCGACGTCGACCGGAGACGGATGAAGGCTTCTGTGATGAGACTCGACGTTCGCTTCATAGGTTATGTAACGATACATATAAATGCGTTGGCTTTTCACTTGCCCCTTAATTGGTTAAACTTCAAGATTACACCTTTCCTGCCTATCACCGGTACACCTAAAAAAAAAATAAGTAATTATCAAATTACAGACATACCATTAAAAAACTTAGAAAATTCTTTTCTATCCTTAATAAAAGTCAGCCACATGTAGATTAAAATTTTGAGAAAGGTGCCGAAATAAAAAGAATAAAGAGGGAGTTAGGATTTTTTAGAATCATTTTTCGAAAATCAAAAGACATACGAAGGTGTTGAGAGAGAAACGAAACTTTGAGTACGAAATCGAGCAAAATGAAGCAAACCTAGTGAGATGGAGCGAAGAAACCCAGAATCAAGAGGAATATTCGCCTTCGTCGGGTGAAAAGGTCTAAATCGGAGCGACGCATTTAAGTCGACCGAAAAAATAAATCCGCGGAGAAAAATGATAGAAGATTCTTCTGCTCATATGATGTGAGTATTTTAGATGAGTTTTTTTTCGAATTCGTTCAGATTATCTAAAAAATTGTGAAATATTTTGTGCGTATATTAATTAGTCTTATTCGCAACTCATAATTACAAAGTTGTCATCTGAGATAATGGTAGATGCCACTAAATATTATAGGAGTGTCTGTGAAGTGAATTAGTCGTAATAGTATTTGAATATGTATACTAGTCGCTAATACAACTGAATACATTTGTTTTATTGCAGAGCGAGATGGAGAATCCACCGAAACCAAAATCTTGATCAAGTTTGTGCATAAAAAAATCAAACACAAGAAGTTGTATATGCTACCAAAAACAAGTTGTAAATAAAGAGTAATAATTGTAACCAGAAAAATAGTATCAATTGTGACCAAATTAATTGAAAAAAATACGTAGACAAATTAGAACGAATATATTTAAAATTTTGAAAAGTGTGCCTATTCAAGAAAAAAAAGATGAAATCGAAATTAATTTAAAAAGTCATGTGGACAAATTAAAACAAAAATATTTAAAAATATTTTTAATATATATATTTCTAAATTCAAATATAAAAGGATATTTTAGATATTTTATGTATAAGGTTATTTAAGTCATTTTATCTAAAATGGGGTGTAGAATCTGATAAAAAAATATTTTAGATTTTGAGGAGTGTATCGATGAAAACAATGCGATGCATAAGGTATTGCTGAAGTTTACCCCCTTAATTGCCTCTGCTCGAAATTCCAATTTTCCAGACTTGTTTATTTCAATTCTAGATTTCAGAATTCAAAAAAAAAAAAAGGTCGAGACTTTCTAATCTTTATTTTTTTTTTTGTTAAAGGTAAATTGCATTAATGAGGAATTTAACGTACAAGAGAGTGGTTGTTGCTTAAAATGCACAAAGTACATTAATCAGCAGTTCAAGGACTATAAGACAAGTGTCTAAACCAGAGAGTAACCGGGCCATTAGAGGAGTTCGATGAGGCTAGGGACTGCCGGAGCGATGAGACCTTTCGCCGTGTCAGTCGTAGGACATCAGGGCCCAGCACAGAAGAGGGCCCGCTTTCTCTTCCGTGAACCCGAGTATTTCGTTCCATCCAGCGGGAGTAGAGGACAGCCTGAAAGAACTGCATAGTTGATCAGCTATTGGATATGCTCTAGGAGTGTTCTGCTTTGCCGGAACAGTGACCGGGCCTCACCTGCGATAGAGGGCCAGACCGCCGAGGAATAGGTGCATTTGAAGAAGAGATGGTCAACGATTCAGCTTCCACCCTGCACAGGGAGCAGGTTGTTAGAGATCTGGAGGAAATCAACGGAAAAATGAGAATGAAATCGAACCGAGGGACCGGATATCTCTTCAAGGCGTAGACACTTTCCTAAAACCGTTATTCCGTCCGTTATGAGCAAGGACTACCGGAATACGATTCTGAGATACAATGAAGAGAAATACGTTCTAGAATTGTTCGTTCAAGAACGCACAGACAAGGAAACGTGAAGAAGAAGATGAAAGAAAGCTTTCGGGAGAGTTTTTGCAAGAAATTTCCGAAAGTGCTCTCAAAATCTCTCAAAAATGGAATCAATCTCGTACCCAACTTATTCTG